CAGCTACATGTACCAATGGGCTGACTCAGTCAAAAAAGTATGATTCCTGAACTGCAGTACCCATAATCCCCTAGTTAGCATGGGCACTGGGCATATTGAGTGCTGGTTGTGTCTAATGGGTGGAAAAAGGAAGCAAGCTTTTCTAAAGATCCATAAAAGAATTAATGGAAGATGTACCTTAATCTGGCCATTGAAACAGCAAGCAGTCACATTAATGACGTTTTAAACCCACAATGACTTCTCAAATAAAACTAAAGCAATGTGATAGTTTCAGGGGTTTACCTACTGGTTGTTGTGGGTTTTTCGGGCTCCTTGGCCATGTTCTGAAGGTTGTTCTTCCTAATGTTTCACCAGGCTCTGTGGCCGGCATCTTCAGAGAACAGCACTCTGTGCTCTGAAGCATTCCCAAGCCAACTACACCAGAGCACAGGTTGCTGTCCTCTGAAGATGCCAGCCACAGAGACTGGTGAAATGTTAGGAGGCACCACCTTCAGCATGGCCAAAGAGCCCAAAAAACCCACAACAACCATTAGATCCCGGCTGAGAAAGCCTTTGCGAATACAGTTTACCTACTGTTAGTCTTGACCAATGCTTGGAAAAGTTAGTGCTTTGAACTATATCTCCCAGAATTAACCCAGACAACCAGAACATATGGAGGGCGAATGGCTGGGGCACCAGAGAGGAGCGTCTTACTCAAGCAGGCCTTTCTGTGTCAGGGAACTGACCAATTCAATACTCCCTAAGAACAGATGGCTATTCAAGGCCCCTCCATCTGATTTCACAAGAGAACTAACCACAGCTGGAGGGAAGGTTCAGCTGCCATCTCCAGGATGGGTGGGTGGTGTCCCTGGATTTCCCTGCAGTGCCTCCGTGAACTGTGACACAAGCTTCTTCTCCATGAAGTGTGTCTCAGAGAACTCCTATAAGGATTCATGTAGCGGTGACATGATGCCAGGTAACCAAGAGCACCCTGTTTGTCACCTGACCTCCAACTCAAATAATAGCCCTAAGAAGAACAGATCTTTTGAAACAAATGAAACTTACTGTGGTTAACAGGTCCCATTGATTTCAATGGGTCAGGAGGCTGGAGGCTACAATTTTGTAGGAGCACTGAGTTCATTCTGTGTTTCAGACCAAACTTTATCAGGAGCTTTCCAAGGTATTCTATTAAGTTCCCCAACAAATAGCTTCAGCACATTGGATAGCGCCTTTAAAATTTAGGCCAAAAGCAGTGTAGAGTCTCACCTTTTTTAAAAAATGTAAAAACGTTTTCTTTTACTCCAAAAAGTCCCTTTTTGCTCCCTATGAAAGGTGGGAAGCAATTTTGCCATATTTGGAGCCCTCCAGCACTCTTGCCCCACTAGATTTTGTAAACAGAAAATGTTTTTTTAGCCGCTGAGCGTGCAAGAGAAATATTTCACTTTAGAAAAGCTTTTGAGAAAAAAAGGGGGAGAGATATGGGTGTAGCAAATGCAATCCTTCAAAGGTCTGAGTGTGCACATCTCGGACCTCTGTTTTTAAAGAAGTTTTTCTGTTTTGCTCTGTCAAGTTCTTAGCTAATGTAGTGGCTTGATATTTTAATATATCTATCAAAAGATCCTTATCCCACCAACCTCTTTTGTATATGAATGTAGGTTTCAAATTCCTATTCTAGAAGACCAGAAGAAGACAAATCTAAAAGTCTTTCTTCGTCGTGGTAGTAGTTTGCGTTTGATGAACAATGTTTAGTTTCCCCTGGTGTTTTAATTCCTTTAAATGCAAGCTCTTCCCATCAAATTCTCAAATTTTTGAAAGTTTTTATCATAATGAAGCAGATGAAATTCTGGAACAGTTGCACTGGCCAGACTCAATAGACAGAGCTATTACCAGTTCCAAGAAGGGAAAAAAAAATTGTGTTGTTGTGTGCTGCCTGCCTGAAAAGGTGAGTCAAGAGAAAAAAAGGTGGTGTAATTTTTCATTAGTAGGAATTCACAGTTAAGAGTTTGAAGAATTAAACATGCAAAGATGTCTGCCTGAATCAATGAACATTTTTGCTTCATATTCTCACCCATTCAATTTGTTTTCTCATTTTTTCCCCTCTCCCATTTATGAAGAAATCTTCAAATATTGCTAAGTTAGTATTTTTTTAAGGGGAAAAAACCACCAATGGTATGAAATTTGCATCCATTCTTAGTGAGGATGGATATTTATTTGCTTGCACAAGCAAGCCGTTAATCTATCAGTTGTCTGAAATGATGCAGCTGAGACATTGCTTAACCATAACCACAATACTGTAACTGGAACAGAGGCTGACCACCAAATTCGCCTCACTGTGGAGGAGAACATGGTTTTTGTGGTGTTCCAGATGAAACAAAAGTTTCGGCTCCATCAGGATGCTGCACGTGCCACACAAGAGAACAAGGAAGCAATAATAATGTCACATTTTCAAGCTATCACTTGTGCATGACAGACAGAGGTGATTGCTCTCTGCTTCTGGCCATGCTTAATTTAGAGGAAAAATTACAGCAGGAATTCCCAGAACTGGGAAACCTTGTATGTGGGGGTGTGAGGGTGGGAGTTTTAACTGCAGCTCCCAGAATTATATAGCCAGCATAGCTACTGTTACTTGTCTACTCTGGTTTACCAGTTTAATCTGGGAGAGTGAATGGATTTTGACTCTTAAGGCTAGGGTTGGGCAACTTGTAGCTTTCTGTATGTCCTTGGACTACAACTCCCATTAGCCCTTGCCATTGGTTATACTGGCTGGGGATCAAGGCGTTTTAGCCCAGCAACACTTGCCAGGCCCCGAGCTACCCACCCATGTTCTACATATTATAGATCAGGATGTGTGGAAGAGAGAAAAGGTGCTTTGATATCCATTAGTGAGCAAGGCGCCATACAGCCAAGCATAATATGGCAACAGAATCTTATTTGGCAACCTGCCTGCCTGGCTTTGTAATAATCCAGAGCATCAAGGATTCTCAGAGACTTGGAAAGGGCAATGAGAGACAAATTTACAGTGCTGATCATTGTGTATCTTTTCCTTTCACTCTGATGACACATTGCCTAAAATTTGAACAGGAAGTTTTTAATGTGCCCCTCGTCTGAAGAAGTGGACTTGATTCATATGGCAGTTAGTCTTTCAGATGCTACAACATTCTTGTCTCTTGTTTTCTTTCTGTTTTTAAAGTTTTTCACTTTGTTTTGTTTCTTATCTGACATACTTGCACAGACTAACATGGATATTGCTTCAAAAAATACTCATGGGTTTCAACGTACCAAAGTGTACGCACATCTAAGTGTGTGAACAGAGAACATGCTAATTGTTTTGTTTCTGTTTTATGCTACAAGTGTAGAATGCTAATAGTATAACGTATAATAAAGCCCCACTGTACCAAAGTGTACGCACATCTAAGTGTGTGAACAGAGAACATGCTAATTGTTTTGTTTCTGTTTTATGCTACCAGTGTAGAATGCTAATAGTATACAGTATAATAAAGAGAAAACATATTGAGTCTGGGAATTCTCCTTGTAACACTCCTTTTGGGTCCATAGTGACTGATCAACCCTATCGAATCCTTGTGGTATGAGAACATTTGGTCACACTACCCACAATGATGGCTGCCAAAGGACAAATGTTACCCATCTTTGAGCACACCAGTATCAGAGGTTCACCAGGCAAGCATGGTGAACAGTGTGTAGCTACCTTCTAGACCAAAAAAATAAAAATTAAAAATAAAACATGCTTAGGATGCATTTAGGACACTAACATCAACTGGTGTTGACCTCTTTATTTGTGTAACAGCTGTGAAATGCTGGCAGTACAAAGTGTGTCAGTGTTTTTTTTTGGGGGGGATGGGGGAAACTAATTAAGGCAAGCTGCAAATAAAGGAAACATCATTTGAGAGACCAGATGCTAATGTGCTAATGGAGAGCTTGGCTGACTCTTGATGTCAACTGGTGCAGAAAGAGTGGGAAAATATTAAGGAAGGCACTTGTGGCGAATAGTTTGCCTCTGGAAATGCCACAGATCCCTGTGGATCAACTCCTAGAATCCAGATCATTTAAGGGGGATATCAGATTGATGTTTTTATGACACTCCCTAGCAGTATATAGAGATAGGACATCACACAAGCTGTGTATTTTATCATCAAATGATGCACACCTTATACCAGGGCAACATATGCTTAATTCTGGATGAATGAGGGATTTTACTAACATTCCTATATTATTTACTATAACTGTGTGCCGTTATATCAATTCTGACTTACGGCAACCCTTTCCAGAATTTTCCCGGTAGAGAATACACAAAATTGGTTGATGATTCCCTTTTTCTGGGGTCACCCAGGGACTGCACAGCTTGTCCAAACCACACAGGTTGGCTCTACTTGTAGAAGGCACAGTGGGGGAATCAAACTCCCAACCTCTTGTTCCACAGCCAGATATGTAACTCACTGAGCTATCCACAAATAACCAATAATGGTAGCCAGGTGAACCTCTGTATCTTGTCCACTTTGTAATTAACAAGCTATTGATCAATTTATCCTTAGGCTAACTTCCTTCCTTTTCAAAGTTAGTTCTTTGTTCTATTTTTGTCTGTAATGGATGACATTTCATTAGGTTGCTTTCCTAACGGCCATTAGCATACAGATGCATATGGAAGCTAGTTCGAGATTCTGTACTGAATTCTAGATCTGAACTTGTTTTAGATTAAACTTCTCCTTTTGCCGTACTATGAATAAACAGCTACAGATGTATAGAGATACGTATGACTGTATATTTTGTGTGTGTATGTCTCTCCTCCCCCCCATATATAAGACAAAGAGATTGAGAGAGTTTTGTGTGTGTGTGTGTGTGTGTGTGTTTTAATTAGGACTTCTGGAAAATTGCAAAATGTTGGTAAACCTCAGCCCATAACTTTCTTCCTTTGGGTGGATCATATGGCTAGTTTTTTTTCTTGTTTTCTCAGTTTGCTTTTTAAAGAAAGGTCAAATCTTGGTCTTTATTTCTTTTTCTTCCAGCCTCAAAGAAGAAGAAGAAGAAAAACGACCTTGAAAACATTCACAGTGGAGTGGATCAGAGAAACACAGACTCTCTCTCTCTTTCTCCAGGGTTTTGGTGCCAGAGATTTTGGTGCCAGGGTTAATTAACCTGAATCTAAGAGCGTGGACTACGTACACCCGTCAGTTTCCTCTCCAACAGTCCCAGGGGCATCTCCTGCCAAAGGGACTTTTTACATTGTGGAAGCTCAGACTTAACTTATTACAGAAGCTGGAACAGCACATGACAGGTCATTGGTGTGATTCTTTCCACTGGGATGTGTTGTGTGTGTTTTAAGCAACCGAAAGCAGGGCATCCAGATCTTTTCCCCTTTAGGGAAACAAACAGATGATGGGACTCGTTGGCTGTGAGAGGGATGTAAGGGATGAATAAAACAGCCCTTCTCTTCTTTTGCAAAAGTGTTAATGAGGTCTTGAGCAATGCCAAAGCAGCTGAGCCCAACCTCCTGACTTACTTCAAAGAAGAAATGGGAGGGGGGAAATAACTTTTTTTTGGAGCGCAGCTCCCAGAAGACCACAGAGAACATGGCCTTCATACATAGGTAAGCTCTGGTCCATGGGGGATGGCGATCCGGATCTGGATCAATGTGCACTTACTTTGAAGTAAGAAGAACATTAAGAAGCCATCTGCACGTGGGCTATAGTTAATGCGGTACACTTCATTTATCCTTTAACTTGATTAACACAGATACCTGTCAGAAAATCCCTCACACCACTTGTCTTTGAACCAGGGAACCTTTCCTTGTTCACTTTGCAATGAAAATTGGGGTACAATGGTGTTCTGCTTCCAGTCTGTTTCCTTTCAGCCATTTCTCACCTCAACCTGAGCAGTGTTTGAGAAGTCGTCCCTTTCATATTTTTGTGGCTGGGGCTTAAGTGGGCAATTCAAAGAGGGTGCAGGAAGCAGAATATTACTTCTGCACCCTCTCCTTCCCTCATAGCAGTTACGTACTATAGGTGCTTCATTCAGCCATTTCTGATCCCTTACCGCAGCTTATTCTAGTAGAGACAATGAGGGTTGCTGTCCAACAACATTTAGAAGTCCACCAACTGCCCAGCCCAATTGTAAAGACCAATAGTTTAAGATTCAGGTCACCTGACACATGTTTTTCTGAGCATATCTGATATCTGAGCCTTCCCAGAAGATTGTATGGCAATATTAAAATAGCCAGGATCTTGTTTCCTGCAATTAAAGCTTAGAAATGTTAAAGTTGTCCATTTCATATTTTTGTGGCTGGGCCTTAAGTGGGGAATTCAAAGAGGGTGCAGGGTTAGCCAGGATCCTGTTTCCTGCAATTAAAGCTTAGAAATGTTATTTTAAACTACAGCTAAAACCCTCCTGCCAAAATGGCCACTGGCCATATAGAAGTGAGGTTTGTAAAAGATGTAGCAGAAGACAGGAGGGCCTGGCGTGCTCTGGTCCATGGGGTCGCAAATAGTCGGACACGACTTAACGACTAAACAACAACAACAACAAAAGATGTAGTCCTCAAAAATAATGGCCTATCCAGGCATTCTACCCCTGGTCCTTAGTCAGACAAAAATACAATGGAGAAGAGCTCAGATTTTGAAAGTAGCACTTTTCTTCCTGAACTGGCCATATAGAATTGAGGCTTGTAAAAGATGTAGCGGAAGACAGGAGGGCCTGGTGTGCTCTGGTCCATGGGGTCACAAATAGTCGGACACGACTTAACGACTAAACAACAACAACAACAAAAGATGTAGTCCTCAAAAATAATGGCCTATCCAGGCATTCTACCCCTGGTCCTTAGTCAGACAAAAATACAATGGAGAAGAGCTCAGATTTTGAAAGTAGCGCTTTTCTTCCTGATGTGCCACTATAAGGATTTATCATTGGAAACTAAGGCCAAGATCACCCACACTGTTGTATTCCTGATTACTATGTAACTTTTCTTCCTGATGCGCCACTATAAGGATTTATCACTGGAAACTAAGGCCAAGATCATCCACACTGTTGTATTCCTGATTACTATGTATGGAGCTGGGCAATGGAGAAAGTCAAAAGGAAGAAGATTAATTTGTTTAAAATGTCGTGCTGGGGGAAATCTTTGCAGACACCATGAACCACCAGAAAACAAGTGGGACTTAGATGAAATCAAGCTCTAGAAGAAAAAATGATAAAACTGAGGTTGCGATACTTTGGGCTTATTATGAAAAAAACAAGACTTACATGTCTTGACAAGACTGTAATGCTGGGAAAACCTGAAGGCAGCAGGAAAAGAGGAAGACCACATATGAGATAGAAAGGAAGCAATAGTCTTGAATCTACAAGAATTAAGCAGGGCTGTTAGGATATTCTCGAAGCTGCTCAGTCATAAATCAGAGGTGACCTGACAGCACATATGAAGCTGCTCAGTCACAGAGCTCCCATGAATCAGAGGTGACCTGACAGCACATAACAATAATACCTATTCCTTCCACATTCATGAGGTGCTATACCCTTGAATTCAGCTTGAGCACAAGAGGTGAGACATCATAAAATGTGATTTGCTGAAAACATGAAAGAAATGACAAGGAGACCCCAAATGGGTTCTGCGTTATTGTTCCAGGAGGCTTACTAGATATGGATGCAACAAGTGGCCTATCTTTATGGCTCAAATATGGATCTGGCTGATCTGAGAAGTGTTCCTGTTTTTTTTCCCCTTTAGTCCATGTTATTTTTCAGGCTGCTGGAATGAAAGAGCTATTACATGGCACACATATCTCTGACGGAGATGGTTATTATAAGAACCGCCAACTTAGGCAAGGGAAAAAAGAAAAATAACATTATCTTCTCATTGAAAGGGTACAATTTCATTCAGAGTGTGCTGTGACTCAAAAGATAACAGTGACGCGCGTTATGAATATGCAAGCGTTAGTCATTAGAGAAATAGAAGCAAGACCATGGAGGTGCTCGTGGGCCAATCTTTTTGCTTCCTGGCACAAAAGACGAGAAGGGGTTGGAAGAGGAGGCATTGACACCAGGTTCTTCAGACCAGGTTCCCACTCAGAGATCCAAATCAGTTTGGGCAGTCTGGACTAGGTCTGTACTAGCATATTTCCATCAGTTGCTGAGAATGGCCAGTACACCAATGGCTCTCCTATCTCCCTGAATTCTGTTGCTGTCCCTTGAAGGCTTATCAGTTTGTGAAATGTGGTGGACCCGGGAGCAGGAATCTCAGATCAGAGGCATTAAAGGCCTCAGTTGTAAGGAGCCTTGTGGCACAGTGGTTAAGCTGCTGTATTGCAGCCAAAACTGTGCTCACCATTCTGGGTTCAATCCCAGGTCGCCAGCTCAAGGTTCACTCAGCCTTCTATCCTTCCTAGGTCCGTAAAATGCATACCCAGCTCACTGGATGGGCAATGCATAACCTGCATAATTAATCTGTGAACCAGACAGAGAGTGCTTTAAGTGCTATGGGGCGGTATATAAGCAGCACGCTTTGCTTCTAGAACAGTGGTTCCCAACGGTTCTTGGACTACAACTCCCAGAAATCCTGGCCAGCACAACTAGTGGTGAAGACATCTGGGAGTTTTAGTCCAAGAACATCTGGGAACGCAAGATTGGGAAACCCTGATCTAGAAGATCTTGTTGAAGCAAGAGGTTGACATGGAATTACCCTTGAGGTGTGTTTTCAAAGCTGGTGTGTTGTGTGGTTACCCTGCTGGGTCTTGCTCCTCACCTAAAAAATTGCGATGGCTTTAAAATAAGCCATCCAGCAGCAATACAATGTCAGTAGCAGCCCGGCTCAGCACAACAGTCTAGGGACTGGAATCATAGTGAGGAAAAGTGGCCCTGGGGGGGTTCTTTTGCACAGAAAAAAAGACAAGTAACTGGAGCCACATTTGAGATGAATAAAATTATGCCAGGTGTAGAGGAAGTGAATAGAGAGACTGCTTCCCTCTCTCCTTCTTTCATAATAGTGAAACTCAGTAGTTCATCTCTAGAGGATAAATGCTAAGAAATTCAAAACACAAGATTGGGATTTATAGTGGAATTCACAGTGATGGCTAAAACCCTGTTACTTAATGTAGTAAATTGCACTAGCGTAGGCCCATTTAATCAATGTGATTAAGTGAATCAGCTTCTCCATACGTTCCATTGATTCCAATGGGCCTACTCTAACTGCAGCTTACTGTGCCAAAGCAAGGGTGCGGCTATATTGGCCATATAATCTGCAAATTATGTTGGGGTATTATTGGATTAATTCATATTGCATGTCATGTTTAGTAAACTACACTACTCTTTAAATGGTCTTTAAAGAGGATTGGCCCTTTGATTCACCCATGTGTCTGCCCACTTTTGTTCTGTCTTTGTCTATAACTGTCTCATCCAGAGTTATTTTTTTCTTTTTTTTAATTTGCTGTGGCATAACACTGCATCAATGTTGCAGACAGAAAGACATCAGTGCCTATGTGATGCATTACTAAAGTCAAACAGTTTATTTTAAAAAAATTAAAAGGGAAACAGTTTTGACAGCATGCGTGATTTCCAGATGGGACAGTATCCCACGCCACCTCAAACACATCACCAAGATGTCAGCACTGAGAATGCCCCCAACACAGAATACAATGACATGACCATTCACACAACAAAAAACAGGTGAAAAAACAGCTTGATGTAGAGCAATTTAAAATAAACAATTTCCCAATGAGTGTTCAAAAAGAAACAATGCGTCAAAGAAAGTGTAAGCTTTCCCACAGTGCAGCTGGGAAATTTTGAACTGATTTTCATCGTGCTAAACCCAGAGTAAGTGGAGGAGTATATTGCAGTGTAGTTGCACCCTAAATCACAGATAGAGTAGGCTTATTAGAGTCAACTGAATTATGGAGAAGTTGTGTAAATGCCCCCAGTTGCCCCCTCCATGACATGGACAGACCATTATTCTCTCCACTGCACCACACACACTGGGTATCTGCAATACAAATAGCTAAATTAACTCAGGCATTTGTCCTGCAATTGGCCCTACATCCCTCACTGATCATTTGGATATTAACTCGTACAATTAGATGACACTCTTTTTATGTATTACATGTGATTATTATTATTTTATCTGTTTCATGCCTTTTATGTTTCTTTATAAGTACTTGCATGAGATGGCAAGTATTATTTTATGCTTTGTTTAATCTATGTTTTTGCATATAGCCCAAGTCGCTCCAAAGCAATAGAGTATTTGTATTTGTATTATTTCCTTTACATTTTTAAAGAACTTACTATTCAAGTGCTAAATCAGTTGGGAGTAAATATACAACTGTTGTGCTTTACTGATACACTGCTAAACTGTTTCAATGCCATGTCTGTTTGTTTTTTCACCCCGAAAGACTGAATCAAGAGTCACATGCAATGGAAGCACGACATACATGATTAATTTTGTTTTGCAAAATCCAAGTATTTAAAAATGGTAACTTTGAGTGAAATAGCTGTTCCTGTTCATAATATGAACAAATTCTGTAGTTATATCAATATACACTGCTAAATCATTTCAGCACTATAGAGTTTGTTAAATTTTAACATTTTTAAAAA